ACACACACACACACACACACACACACACACACACACACACACACACACACACACACACACACACACACGCAAAACAAACAACAACACACAAGTTATCCCTCACACCTTCCTTCCCCCCCCCCCTCTTCATCTGTCCTGTTGATGACAGGATGCGCTGTCGTCAGCGCCGGTGCGGGTGCAGGGCGGCGTCGTGCGCACCAACTGCATGGACTGCCTCGACCGCACCAACGTCACACAGGTTGGAAACACGGTGGCAGTGGCGGTGGCGGTGGTGGTGGTGCTGGTTTGTTTGATCGTGGTGCGTGGCTGAGGGGAGATGGCAACATTCGTCCCCGGAGGGGAAGGGAATGCATCGGGTGATGTCTACACCCCAGAATCTCACTCGTGTCGAACGCGTGCGTGCACAATCATCCACACCCCCACCGCCACCATTATCACCATGTGTGCAGTCGATCATTGCGCGTCGCGTTCTCCGCCAGCAACTCGTGGACATGGGCATCATCGGCCGCCGGGTGAGAGGAGGAGTGCACATACACACACACACACAGGCACACAGACAGACAGACGGACATACACATACGCGCACGCACACGCACACACACACACCTGCACGTATCACTCACATTGTTCCTCCCAATCCCACACCACCCCATCCATCCTCGTGCCTGCAGGCACCGCTCCCCTCCACGGTCGTGGCCGGCGTGGTGTCGGCGTGGTCGGCGAATGGAAACGCAATCAGCAGACAGTACGCAGGCACAGACGCAATGAAGGTGAGGGCGTGCCTGATGGAAACGTGCGAGGTGCATGATTTGTGATTGTGCGCTTGTGTGCGTGCAAGTGAGCGTGTTGGGTGGTTGTTGCGACCATGCAAAATACATTGTACCTTCGTTCGTTCTGACTCTCAAATGCACACATCTCTCCACTGCCGCTGGCAACAGAGCGAGGCCACGAAATCATCCAACAAACTTCTTGGTGAGACCATCACCAATGTAAACTCTGCAACGCGTTCACATCTTGACACTTGCGCGCATCTCTCCCTCCAAGCTGGCCAGCCTTATTCTCTCTTCGCTCCTTTCTCACCCCCCCCCACACACACACGCACACACACACCAACCAGGTGCCCTGAACGACGGCCGGAAATCGCTGACGCGCTACTACCTCAACACCTTCCACGACGCGTTCCGCCAGCAGGCCATCGATCTGTGCCAGCGCGCGCGCACGTGCACCGACGTCGCCGGAGAGGGCGTGGCGATGCAGGTAAAGGAAGCGAGAGGAGGGCGGTGGTGGTTAGAAGCTGGCGGAGGGGTGTGGGTGGCGTTTCAAGGTTCCCGCTGGTGGGTTGACTTGCTTCCATTGTGGCTCTCGCATGCTCATGCACTCACAATTGTTGGCTTTACCAACACACACACACACATACACATGCACATATGCACACACACGCACACGCACACGCACACACACATTCATCCCCCTCGCGCCACGCTCACGATAGGACCGAGAGCAGGCCGCGCTGTTTGGGGCGACGATGACATTTGTACAGCGCGTGCAGCAGCGGCTGATGAAGTTTGATCACGATGACGATGACGACGACGGCGACGATGGTGGTGATGGTGGTGAAGGTGGTGGTGTCCTTGGTGTGAATGGATTGCGACGCAGGCGCCTGTTTAGTCGTGGAAAGCCGACCGTGGGTGCTGGCAAGAAGGCGCCATCAACGGCAACGCAACAGCGCCGACGTGACGAGAACGGAGATCGTGACAGCGCGACCACGACAACGACGACAAAGGAAATGCACGAGAAGAAATCGACGGATTCGGAACTGCCGCTCGTTGCGTCGCCCATGTGGAGGCAGGACGAGTGAGTGCACTGCTGTTGAGTTCTGGTGGTGGTTGTGACGGTCTCGTGAATGATTCCACCACTTTGGCTTTGCACGTGGTACACACACACACACACACACACACACACACACACACATACACACACACACACCGCGCGCGCCATGCCCGTGCGCAAACCCAACTTTACCTCCCTCATCCTTTCCGTCCATCCTTGACCCCGCCTTTTATCCTCGTGTGCTACAGACACATTGGCGTTGAAGTGGTTCTTCTGCTCACGATGCGCTCGCTCATCATCGCATACGTCGACTTCTCCGAAGAGGTGATGGTGATGGTGGAAGTGGTTGTGGTGGTGCGCGTGCGGGATTTGAGACTCGTGTACGGCCACGTCGTCCTTATCACGTTGCCACCTCAGAAACGACACGACTTGCACCCAACGCACCCTCCCTCTCTCCTCACGCACACGCACACACACACACACACACACACACACACACACACACGCACACAGCACACATGCACACACACACGCACGCACACACACACACGCGCGCACCAACTCACCTTTTCTCCGGATCGCAGGCCATCATCTCCTACACGCGCCTGCCGCTGCACCGCGTGTGCAAGGTTGAGGTCGGTTCACTGAGCGCCACAGACACGCGTGCCCTCGGCCTGTCGACACGCCCCACCTCGGCCACGGGATTGCTTGCAAGCAGACGCCCGCGCAGGGGCCAAGCAGCAGCCGGGCCAGCAGCGCTACGCATTTATGTCAAGGTGAGCAGAAGGGAAGCAACGTGCTCTTGTGTGTTTTGTGTTTTGTGTGTTTTGTGTGTGTGTGTACATGTGTGTGTGTGTATGTGTGTATGTGTATGTTTTGTGTGTGTGTGTGTGTGTGTGTGTGTGTGTGTGTGTGTGT